TAAATTAGGCGAAACGAGGGGTTAATACTAGTGTGTGGTGAGCTTCTTAATCATCTTCATCTTCATCTTCATCTTCATCTCCATCCTCATCCTCATCTTCTCAAGAAACACAAATGACTAATGGAAACTCAGGTTATAATGATTAACCTTTTACTATTATTATAATTAAAAAACTTTTTCCTTGTTGATTGTTGTGTATTTTGCTGGTGAAAACAAAAGACCATTTAATTATTTAGATTATTAATTTATATACTTAATTGTTAACTTCTAATAGTTTAAATTGTTTCCTATTAGGAGAGAGAGAGAGAGAGTCAAAATTTAATCATGATATAAATTGATGATGATGATAATTCATTTCTTAAATCATCTTGAGGAAAAGATTGATTTCTATGGCTGTTAATCAGTTCCAGAACGAGATTATTATTAACATTATCAAAATTTAATGTCATCTATTAAGATGATGATAATCATCATGAAATTTATCACTTTATCATGTTTACAATTAATCAACTATTAATTCAATTATATTTTCAACTTACATCCTATTTAAACATAACAATTGCATCAATAATCATGACTGTTGATTGTTGATTGATTTGAATTCCTCATTTCCTAAATTAATCCTTTTTTTTCAAACATATAAATTGTCAGCTAATAATAATAACGATTAGATTAACAATTAGGGATTTAATTACTTCCTCTTAAATTGTTAATTAACTGGATTTCTTTTTTTTTTCTCATCTGAACTTCTTATATATAAAATCAATTATTATTATTATTATTACAATCCAATTGATCATCTTCACATTTTGATTAAAATTGTTGTTTGTCAATTAATTGAAACTTAATCATTGATGAGATTGTTGCTTTAATCATTTATTTATACTGTTGCTAACCTGTTAATTGTTACGCCTTCTTGATTGATCATTTTATAATCATCAACATCGTAACAATTGGCCGAGTTAATTTAATCACTTGTAACATTTAATTGTTTGGATACACATATAAATATAAATACTAGTATTTATTATAAACTATCAAATGATAAGTATTAAAAACAATTAACATTTTCAATGAACCTTACATTTGATTTATGATATTGACACTTAGCCAAATAAAATGGTTAATTGTTAATACATTGATTATAATTTAAAGTTAAACAATTTAATGGGCAAAACAAAATTAACTCAACACTGATTTATCAAAACAATATAACCAAACATCATCATCATGATAATATATTTGCTAATTTAAACGCTCATTATGTATCATTGGTGGGGTTTAATTATCATAATGAATTAGTTGATTGTCTGGTTAATATTAAATTGTACATAGTTTTTTTAATGGTTTATGATAATAATCAAGTTGAATAATATTGATATTAATTTTAAACACTCACACACATACACACAGGTAAAAATGATGATGATGAGCATGAAGTTGTTGATGATAAATAATAATAAAAAGGGATAGGTATTCATGAAGATTATCATAATGATGATGATTAAATCTGATTGATTCTGAATGTTATTAATAATATTATGAAATCAATTGTGAATATATATATTATTAAGATGATAATCAAATGATAACCATAAAACATTAAGGTAGAGTCCATGAAACAATCATAATGTTTTCTTTTTGTATCAAAAACAACAAACGTAAAACAAGGTAAGGCTACAATGGTACATAGATTATGATGATGAAAATCATTGACGGTGGGATGAAGATAAGGATGAGGATGCGGATAAAGATGAGAGTAAAAGCCTCGATTCATTTTACCGTCATTTCAGGTTGATCATTATAATTGTGTTACGTTTATGATCAAAGTCCGCCTTAAATTGATGACTGACTGTTGATCATCATTATCATTATTGGAAACAAAAGAGAGAAAGAGAAAAGAAAGAGAAAGAGAAAGAGAAATAAGGATGGAGAGAGAGAGAGAGAGAGAGAGAGAGCAAAGAGGGTGGGAGGGGTGGAAAGATGAGGATGATATCGATTCAATCAAATTCAATCTTAAGTTGTTGTTACTCATTCTCTCGTTTTACTTTCTCACTCACCTACTCTCTCAATCTCTTTCTCTCTCTCTCTCATCTTACCTTTGACTCCCTCATTTATTGAACAATTAACGTATTTATATACCTACTGATAGTCTCATGAATATCATGGTTAATTAATATGATCACCATAATCACTAACTAATAACACTATAAAGACCAATGAACCTACACCTCTTTAATAACCTTATTAATGATGATGATTGGTAATAATAATTAAGTGCGTCAACGTCGCGCATTTAACGATATCGTTGAAAAAAAAAATTGTTTCTTCTGTTATTTGTTATTGTTATTTAAGTCTCTCTCTCTCTCTCTCTCTCTCGCAAGTAATTACTTAATTCTTGATGAATGAACAATTTAAGCTATTAAATAATCAAGTACTCATGATAATAATAATCACCTTTTATTTGATTTTGTCTTTTATTATTTTCTCTCTCTCTCTTTCTATCCCCATGGTGGGGTTTCATTCAAAGTATATTATGAATAATATCCATATATTACACATGGATACAACTAACAACAGGGGATCAGATTAGTGGTGAGTAACTAAGGTGGATGATGAGGTGGTGGTGGTGGTGGGGTAGATTCATTTCATTAGAGTCTTTTCCCTCCTCCATTTTTAAATCAACATCATCAAGAGGATAATTACTCTCATTAGCATTTCCTTTTCCACGGAACTAGAAAATTATCTGATGACATTTGGATTATCTGATTATCCTTCATCTTGCACAATTCTTGTTTACTTATCTACCTCTCCCTCTCTCTGTCTCTCTATTCTAGAGCCATTGTCATCATTTGATGCTAATCAAGATAGACTTTCATATTCTAATTAAGTTGTTAGTTAATTAGTTTATTTTTCTTCTTCAATATCAGTCTCATCTTTTAGATTATCTTTCTCTCTCTCTCTCTCAATTCAATGATTACCCTGAAAATTTGTATGACTTTTTCTTCAATGGATCCAATTTACTCAAACTTTTGATTGTTGCTGTTAATCAAGGCTATTGAAAATTCATTGATTCTTATTTAGTAAATCATTTCCTTTCAAATCATCTTAATCAACCTAATCAGGATGTTATATATTTAACTAATAAATAAATTGTTTATTTTAATTCATCAACAAGCAATCAATATTATCCTCCATTAAAGCAAATCAAACGGAAACTAAGATTAATTCAATTGTTGATTGTTAATATCAATCAAATTGATGATTAAGATTTTTTATTTCTCTCTTTCTTCAATTTATTACAACTCTAAAATTAAATCATCCACTGAATCAATTAATTACCATGAGATTCTCATTGTACTCTCAGCCTTAATTATCAAAACAATTGTGTGAGAAACTAACAATTAAAAACACTAATGTAAATATCAACTATTGATTGATTACTTACTAAATCGTAATCTATGATTTAGAAACTTTGAAACTGATTAGTAGTTTCAATACAATTGCCTTTTGCCTCTAAATCGTCAGTGATGAAAAAAAAACACAATTTAAATTACTACAAATATGATTATTTTAATCAACTGTGTTGTAATTATCCTTACAATCAACTGATTGGTACAAATTAATACAAGGACGTTTACCTGTTAAGTTCATGGTTATCCGGAAACAAGATGATACAATAACTGAATCATTATTAAATCATCAGAATCATGATGAACCATTAAAACAATTAATAATCACGAAAAAACCTCTAATATACAAACTGACATCAAATAAATTACGTAATTAGAGGATAAAAATAATTAACTGATTAACTTTAGTGGTTTAATTTAGTCTCCTAATCATTTGGATTAGTGAGAGAGAGAGACAAGTTGATTAGATTAAACTTAGAAAGTTAATCACTCTCGAGTTTATATCATTTAAATTGTATTAAAATTTTTTCTTCGCAATTAGTTGATAAAAACTAATCATTGATTAACAATTAACGTAACAAACAAAAAAAGAGAGTCAATCAGTTAATTGCAATTTAAATTTCAATCAATTTAGGCCAATACAATTACAATTAATTTGCAATCAGATTGATAATTATTATTAGTAACGTCAAAGTTAAGATTAAGAAATAACAATTAACAGAGTCACAATTAACTAATTTAAGTTATTACACACATACATATACACTAATTAACCATTTATATTGGACAATTAATTTCAATTGTTAATAATAAATCGTTAATTATTGTAAGTTTGATTGATAAAGATAATTGATTAACTTGAATCGTTGATATTTCTGCTTAATCACAATTAAAATATTAACATATATACACACAATTGATGATTAAATTGTGTATCATGTTTGTTAACTGTCTTCTAATATTAACTAATTACTTCATTGTGATTAACTTGATTGTAATAATTATTAAATGTATCTCATTAAAATCGATGATGATGTATTGTCTTTACCCTTAATGATGATGATAATTAACCAACAATAACAATGAGAATGAGAAAATGATTAACAATTAGTTAAACATAACAAATAGCACCAAAGATACACAGACATACTAATTAACAACGTAATTAATTTAAAAAAAAACTGATCAATATGATGATTATCATGATGATGATGATTAACTTTAATTGTTATACCTTTGCAGATTATTAGTAATATTATAAGGTGAATGATTAAAAAAAAAGAGTCACAATCAGGAAGAGTTAATTGTAATTGATTAAATGTAGACAAGGTGCAAAATCAATGTGATCAATTCATGTAAATTGTTAATCAATCAAATCAATTTAATCAGGTTATCCAAATTATTAGTACCTTAATTGTAACCATGTGCTTGTGTAAATTGTTGATAATTTAGTTAATTGTTATTCACTTTCCTTACACCCTTTTTTTTTAACTTATTACGACAATTAACTGATTGTTTTCAATTATCGTTGAAGCTTTTGATAATTATCAGAATATTGATTTAATTGTTACAATCAATTTCACTTACCCAATCAAAGAGGGCTGTGGTTAATTAGTTAATCAAAAGAGTCTGTTGATTAGGATCCGTTGATGATGATTACTGATTGATTTTTAATTGTTGATCGTTGATAGATATCACTTTAATTGTCACAAGGTCAGTTGAGTTGATTTAAATTGTTGAGAATAGAGTAAATTGTTGATTATTAACTAGAAAATCCGTTGATTGTCACAATTAACAGGCTGGCAAAAAAGTTAATCACTCAGTTTAATTGTCACCAATGGATAAAGTCCCAAAAAGTTTGTATCACAATTTAAATTTTGTTAATAAGACAAATTATTAATCCTTGTTAAAACAATTGATTAAATTAAAGTGAATTTGAATTAAAGTTGATTGATTGTTGATTTTGTTATAATGGTTTAATCATTGATTGATTACCTTGGTAATTATAATCATAATAATTAATTAATCAAAGAAACATAAACACACATACACAAAGATGATAATTGAAAGATGGGAGAGAGAGAGAGAGAGAGTGAGAGAGAGGGATACACAAAATGATCACAATTAAAACTCAACTTAATTGCGAATCGAGAAACAATATTGATTAAAGTTGATTGTAATTAAATAAATGGATTAACAGTCGTTGCATCAAAAAATAATAATGACAATTAAATGTCAATCAAAAAAAATGTCAACGATCAGAAACACTAAAATAGTTAAATGAGTTAATCCAAACTAAAAGGTAATTGGTAAAAGTTGATTAACACAATTTTGTTTATAATTAATTACAATTAATTGTTGTAGTGTTGTTATAACTTGTTGCAATTGTTAATTACACGTGTTGATTTAAAACTATCAATGTCAATCAGGTCAAAGGTTAATCAGTCCCTCAAGTGAATGATAACAATCAATGGACAAGGTTAATCAATTGGCTAAAAAAATATCATCAGTGGTTAAAGGTGATAAAATTGATAAAAACAGAGGATGATAATGATAATAGTGATGATGAGAAAGGTGAGAGAGAGAGAGAGAGAGAGAGAGAGAGGAGAGAGGAGGGAGCGGGTACAATAGTAATAAAAGGAAACCACAAAATGAGAGAGTGAGAGACAAAAATGGAGGGAGATGAAGAAATGATTATATTGACAAAAAACTTTGATGATAATGATGAAGATGATGATTATTGTGATGATGATGAAAGGGCAGGGCAACGGTAAAGACCATGAAGAGAAAGAGAAAAGGAAAGAGAGAGGGAGGAAGATAAGGGAAGAGTGGGTGGTATGAGGGGTGGAGTGTATATTAAATGAAAAAAATGTTCTCTTTTCGTTTCTTTATCAACTTTCTTCATCGTTGCTCCATCTTCATCTTTATCTTCCTCATCCTCCTTCATCATCATAAAGATGATAATCGTTCATTATCTGTATCAATTACTATTTATTTATCTTTAATCATGATATAATAGAGTAATAATCATGTTAATTGTGTTGATTATTATGAATATGATCAAGAAAAGAAGAAAAAATTAACTTAACGACATTTTCCCCCTCTAACAATTAACTTATTATTTATAATCAATTTACTTTCTTATTGTGATTAGCTTTTTTTTCTCGTTCTTAATTGTTATTAATCATTGACGATCAACAATTTAGATTTGATTTCAATTAACTTCCGCTGAGATTTGATTAAAAGTTTCTTTCTCTCTTTCCTAATCCTTGATTGTTTGCTAATTGTTTCGATTCTTAATGGTGCTAATTGTTTGAAAATTGGAAGTAAATTAACCTGAGATTTATTTTAATTCTTAATTGTTTTGGTTCTCTTTCTAACTCTCTTTCTCTTTTTTGTCTAATTCTTTGATTTGATTGTTCAATTTATCTCTAATTATCAGGGTTAGTATTTATATCACAAGTTAATTGTCGCAGTTTGATTGTGATTTAATTACAATTTAAAAAGTTTCATTAATCTACTTTGATTTAAACTTTACTTTTTTCTTGCTCAATTCTTAATTTTGATTAAGTTCAATTGTCAACTTTGTTTTTTTTTCTTGTTCTTGATTGTTGATTAACAATTAAAAGTTAATTAAGGATGTTGATTGATCGGATTTACATTTGCATCGTCATTTTAATCAACAATCAAACCAAATCAACTGTAATTAATTGGCTAAACAATAATAATAACATATACAAGATGGTAAATCATGATTATCATTTAATGTCAATAAGAATCAAAACTAATTGTGATTAGTGAATCAAGAAGATGAAAAAAAAATTAACCTAATCAAAAGTAAACAATTTGATTACGTGAACAATGAGTTAATTAATTACAATTCCATCAACAATTAGTATTTAATTCTTAGCGATTTTTTTTGTTGTTTCTTTGATTGTTTGTTATCAGAAAGTAATTAGGACGTAATCATAATTATAATTATGATTAGTATTTGTAAAAAAGTGATTGAACTTTGCAATTAACTTAATTGCAAAAGTTTTGTTATTTTTTTGCTGGATCCAAATGTAATTGTATTTATAAGATTTGCTTTTTGATCAAGTTGATTAATCATAATAATAATGAATGATAAGCAAAGTAAATTGTTGTAATTAAGATGATGATCAAGTTGATAATGCTTTTTGATTTGATTTGTGTAAATAATAAACATTATGATTACATATACACTCGGTAAGTAAATTAAATCATCTCCTCAACAACAACAATCAACTGTTGATTAATTTGTTTGATTAAATATAAAAAAAATTATGCAAAATAATTAGTGAGTGGTTAAGGTAACCACTTATAAGGAATCTGCAATTACAATCAAAGATAATTGTTACAACTTATATTGAGATTACAATTAATTAATTTTCACTTACCCCAACTAATTAACGAAAACAATTCACCTTTAAACTTAATTATGATGACGATGTTAGTAATTAATGTTAATATAATCATTAACATTATCATCAATGTATTGATTATCTGGTCATTGAATTGATTGTTCAAATGATCAATTGTCGTTGTGATTTTAATTGTTGAAAGTATTTTCCATTTTAATTGATTGATCATCTTTGATTGTTGTTGTTGTTATTGGTTCTTATTACTCTTGTCAACAATTAGTTTAATTGTGTTTGATTACTCACTTTACAATTAGTTAAAAAGTCTTGAGGGTAAACGGTAAACAATTTAACCCCTTAATTGTTGAGGTGAACAAAGTTGATTACGATTTAATTTTAATTCCCTCTTTTCCTCCTCTGCAATTCAAAGTAAATCATGATAAGTTAATTAATTGTAATTACAATCATCGTCTTCATTGTCAGGTCACTTTTACAATTGATTAATTGTTGTTGTGATTATTGTGAAAACCGATAATGAAAGGAAGCAAAAAAAGTTTCACTAATCATTACAATCAACCAATTGCCCCTTAATTGTGATCAAAACCTGACATGAGAGTTAATTGTGACATTAGTTTAGCATTACAATCATTGAGTGTTGTTGTTATTACTTAATTGTTGTAAAACAATTAAAATTTTTGAATATATTTACAGATACATGTAATCACACTGTTTGGAAACAATTAATCAAATTGATTCCTTAACTAGACAATTTAATCATTTGTCTGTACTTTTACCCCTTAATTGTTGTAACTTAATCATTGTCAGTTCATTACCATGACTAACGAGACTCGTGGTTAATACTCAATATTAATTAACTAAAAAAAAACAACGAGAAATTCAATTGTAATTCAACGAAACTAAATCAACATAATTAAATATTTTTCTCAACGATAACATAATTTAAATTGTTACAATTGTAATCATAACCTTGCATTCAGTTTGTATGTAAGGTTTTCAACAATCAACAAACAATCAAGAGACACACAAAGATACACAATTGAATAATGGATTATGTGAATTGTTGATTATCTTGTCTGGTTTTGTTAATCATTATCATCTAATCACAATTAGTCCACAAACAAAATACACGATGATGATTAAAAATTCACCAAGTTAATCATGATTTACAAGTAAATACAATCATTGACAAGATAAATTGTTTAATTGTCAACTTTTGGGATTATGTTTTTATTATGCTAATTTGCAAGATACGAAAACCTTAATTGTAATTTAAATTGTAAACTTAAATTCGTTGGGAATTTTTTTTTCACTTCTTTTACTTAACAGGTAATATATTTAGTTAACTCTCAACTGATTACAATTAAAATGAATCACAATTATCATATTGTTATCACAATTGTTAACATTAATTATCATTGTCTTGTAATCAACCAACCTCAAGTTGACAAGTTATTAGGCTGAAAATGGAAGGAAAAAATTAAATTGCCCTAAGGCAATTTGAACAAAGTTAATCACAATTAAACCAAAACTGTTTTCATCATTAACATTGTGATTTAATGATTAATATTGTAATTAGTGATACATAGGAACTGATAATTTAGTTGATTGTTTAAATAAGCAAATGAAACCGTGACACTAATTGCAAAGTGAATTTTAATCCTTAATCATTAACAATTAACAATGGATACAAACTAAATTGTTGAATCTCTTTGATATGTGCTACTGTTTATGTCTATCCTTTTAATTACAATTTAATTCTGATTAACAATCAATTATGTTTAAAATTAAGGATTTAAGTTGTTGATTATTTTGTTTTACTTTTTTTTTCTCTCGCTAATTGTTGATTTATGATGAAATTATGATTGATTAAAGTTCACAATTGATTTGATTAACTTACAATTACAATGAATGGAAATTTTTTTCCTTTTTTTTTCCTTAATTGTCATCACACAATCAACAGTTAAATTGCTATAATATACACACTTAAGAGACTAATTTGTTTTTCTGCATTTAACTCAATTATGATTAATTATAATTGGTTATAAGATGATGATTAAAATTACTATTTATAGATGAAAATGATTAAAAACTGTAATCAAAAAAATTAATAGCTCCAAGATTAACTGATTACATTAAGTAAAAGTTTCATGACAATTTAGATCCACAAGAATTAATAATAATATTGAAAAAAAAACCGTTAGTTGATTAACCTGTTAGAGCGTGATTATTATCAAATTGAATTGTTGGTTAAGTTGATTAGTTCAATGTTGATTATCAATGATGAGGATGAGGATGAAAAAACGACCTACCTACAAATTAATCAACTTTTACCTTAATTATAATTGTTAACAATAAACTTTATATCCTTCATTTCGTGAAAAATTGTAACTTATTAGTGTTGGTGAAAATTTTTTTTTTTCTTCTTCTCAATCTGACAATCAAAGTGATTAGTAAATTGTTATCGATTATGTCCGGTGAGGATTAACCATTTCAGGGTTAATCCAACCTTCCAATGGACCAGATACAATATTTCCATTCCTATTATATTATTATCATCATATAGATTTGGAATTTTGGATTATCTTCTTCTTCTTGAATCTTTCTTTGGGTTGATGAAGTTTAAGAATAGAAAAAAAAATTAGAAAAAATTCTTTCGCTCAGTGATCCATGAAATAGGGAACAATTCAAGGAAATAAGAGGCCTGAAGGTTCAACAATCAAGTTCACAATTTAAGAATGAGAATAAAATAATAGACGAAAAGAGAGATTTTTTTTTCTCTTCTCTCACCAAGAGAAATAGAGAAAAAAATATTATTATTCTTAACGAACTAAATCAGAAAAGCTAAATTGTTATAAGAATCGTGGGTTAATCATTTATATTCCAGGTAGAAAACAACATCTTCCTGTTGATCAAGCATCTTTCTCATAATCATTTGATTATTACAATCTAAGTAAATTGTCGACTAGATATATCGACCTTTATATATATTATTTTCTTTAAGAATCAAATTAAATCCATTGATATATACAGTCCTCGGCAAAAGTTTAAGGACAACAATCAATCGATTATAACTCGAGTTCTAGTTAAGATAAATTTATAATTTTTTCATAAATATAATAGTCATTGGTAGTAGTTTTGAAAATGAAGAGAAAAATTTTGTACATATTTTTTATTAACTAATTATTTAACTAATTATTAACATTGCATAGCGATCAGCTCGTCAAAAGTTTAAGGACAAACGGCTTTTTGGGTCTACCTTTTTGGTGAAAGGATCAATTTTATTTTTTTTGGATAGTCCCTTAATTGTTCATGGTTATGCATTAGATTTTTGTTGATTTTTTTCCTCTTGAGACATTTTTAAGGCCAAAAAACGAAATAAATGATAAATCGAACCTTAAGTTCGTTTTTTTTGAAAATGACCTCAAAGTAAAATAGTAAAATCATTAGGAAAGATTAATTAAGTGATAATTAATCACTTTAGACCTTTAGAAATGTCTAGTAAATGTATTTTCTCAAGTTATTTGAAGTTCACGATGAGTTTCGGTAATTGCAAAATTCGAAAATTGGCCTCAATTGATAATAATATGCGGTCTGGACTCAAGAAATTTATTACCAATAAATGAAAGAGGTGAGCGTTCAAGATGGCGGACTTGAAAAAATTCTGTGATTCTTTTTTGATAGATTTTGAGGTCAAAACAGTGACGATGTTAATAACATATACTAAATATACATTATAATCAATTGATTGTCCTTAAACTTTTGCCGAGGACTGTATATATCCATGTATACGGTTAATTGGCAGGAAATTGAAGGTCTCTTAATGACAATCAAATGGATATTCAATTCAATTGTACAATCATCATAATCATTATTATGATTGGTTTGATTTAGATGAGTTTTTATTTCTTGCAACAATTTTATTATTTTGAAAGTTTTTTTTTCTTCAATATCTCTTATTGTAGTTACCCTTTTGTACAAGGGAGTTTAATACACACCAACCACAGGTTATAATGAATTAACAATCAGTTAATCATTATCATTATTAATCTGTAATTGTATTATCATTGTAATATGTATGTGATCGGTGTGAGTGTATGTTGTGTATCAATCCGTCAAGATGATAATGGTTATGGTTTTATGGCGATGGTGAAAAAAGGCTTGAGAAAAAAAGTTTGATTAAAGGTAAAAATTATCTCTCGCAATCCAATCAACTGTATAACAATCAATTCGTTGCTTATTCAATTATCGTAAAGATAATATGGGAGCATTTTCAACAATCTTTTTTGCCTTTTTCCGTTTATTACGATTTTTCTCGCGCTTTTTAAATGTCTCATAGAATAATTTCACTTCTTCCCGAGATTCAATTTCAGTTTGAATGAATTGAAGTGCTGATTGATTGAAACCAAATAAATTCTACAATAAAGAGAGAGAGAGAGAGAAAAAAAATGGAAGAAAATAAAAAGTGAGAACAAGAATTAACAATTTATAAGATCAGAAAAAAAAGGTATGAAAGTGAATCAAATTTTCTATTGAATTTTTTATTTACCTTTGTTTCCATCAATTTGGGTTTCATAAGGTTTCTTAATGAATCAATGGTGGGAATAAGTCGAGGTGTTGAGCTTATTTGACCAAAATGAGTTCTAATTGGTGAGAAATAGAGAAAACAATTAGTAAATCATTACAAGTACTGAAAATGTAGTAGTAGAAATTTTAGGGAAAAAAACTTACCTAACAAGGAAACAAATATATTTTAATATTGTTTCCCGATCCCAATCTTTTTCTAGATGATTTGTCAGAATGATTAGTAAATCGGAAACGTAATTAAATGGTAAACTTAATAGGGTCTCTTGGATTTCACTTGGTTTGATACGAGTTAGAATGATGTAAATGTATCTGTATGGGTCATCCGTTTTAAAAGCCGATAGAACTGGATTAGGTGCTATTGGTTTGGGCAACTTTTTACCACAACTTTCAGCTGATTGACATTGAGCCTTGAAAATGGCATTTGATTTGATTTCTTCCTTGAAAATTTCGATTGCTTCGATCAATCGTTCGGTGGCAATTACAGTTTCTTTGGTTGATTTAACGGGTAAAGATGATTCTTTATTACCATCACCGGGAATTATATGATTACTTTCAATTCCACCATCGTTATTTTCATCTAATTCCTCTTCTCTTTCGATTTCTCTTTCTTCTTCGAGGATAAGTAGCTCATCAGTTTCCATCCAAAGTCGAAGTGTTTTATCATGTGAAGCAGAAACAACGTGTTTACCATTAGGTGAACATGCTAAAGTCCAAACTTCCGATTGATGACCTTTAAGGGTCATAATACGTTCATAATTAGTTGTATCCCAGTATTTGATTGTTTTATCTCGGGAACAGGTGAATAGTAACTTTGAATTGGGAACAAATTGGACACAGGTTATGGCCTCATCATGAGCGAAAATTGATCGACGACAATCACCAAAATCTAATCCCCATATTTTAATATTCTTATCACCTGAACCCGTGGCAATGATACTCGAATCATCGGCAATGTCCATTGAAAGAACAGGTAATTTATGTCCATAAAGAGAGAGGAAAAATTTAAGTGTATCAAGGTAGAAAATTTTAACAGTACAATCAAGCATGGAAACTGCTATAAGTCTACTATTAGAACTTATTTTAACACCAAGAACACCTTCATCTGTGGCCAGTGTTCGGGTATGGATTAAAGTGATAACCATTTTGTTGGTTTTAGATGATTTAGTTAGTTCAAGGTTCCAAAATTTAACAGTCTTATCCTCCGATCCAGAGACAATACTTTTTCCGTCCGGGTGAGCACATATTGACCATATTGGTCTACCCGATTCGGATGCTTCAATGGTCTCAATTATTTCCGCTAAGCCAATGTCAAATATTTGAAGTTTACCAGTTTTGGTTCCAGTGATAGCATATTTGTTACCATGAACAAATAGTGAACACAATGCATATTCAAAATCCTCTTTGATGGTTGTTATACATCGGCGGGTTGATCGATTCCACAATTTAAGTGATTCACCACTTGCCGATAGAATCATGTGATTATCTGAGCTAAATGTTAATGTCCGAATGTCAGTTCGATGGCCTTCATTGTCTAATCTAACCATTGGTTCAACCTCAGAATTGACCAGATTATATGAATACATTTCGATGACATTGTTACCCAATAAAAGGGTCACTTTGGCAGCGTTTTTTTGGATAAATATATCACAGAATTTAACTCGACCATTAGCTTTAAATACTTCAAGTCGTTCGATCTCTTCTTTAAGGGTAATGGTTGATGATTCTTCGTTGGTCTCATCTACATTTTGCTCAGCGTTTGTTGCTGCTCTTTTACGACGGGATTTCTCTTTCTTTTGTAAACGTTTTTTGATCTCTTGTTCATTTCGAATCTTGAAACATTCAACATGAGCATCCATTCCATAGCATAAGATGAACCGTTCACTTTTGTCCATACTGAATCCTCGAAAACGGCTACCGTTGGCTCTAAGAATTGACCCATAAGAAGCAACTTTGAACATACTAGTTTCGTCTTTGATATTTTCACTGTCTTCTACTTCATCGTCATCTTCGTCTTCATCTGATTGATTGTTTTCCTTTGCTACATCTTCATCAGATCGAAGACTAATCTTCCAAACCTTGAATTCGTCGCTTCCAGTAATCAATCTGTAAAATGATGAGTGAAAAACAATGCGAGTGGATTAGTTAGATTTGGCAGAATTCGGGGAAAAATGAGAAAAAGTAATTACCTGGTATCATTTTTGAAAAGAATAAAATCTAAAACTTCATTTCTATGAGCGATAAATGTTTTGAAACAATGCTGAGTTTCGAGATCCCAGAATTTGATGGTTCCATCTTTGGAACTTGAAATGATACAATTGTGTAATTTCATGAATTTAACTTGAGTGATTAGATTCTTGTGTCCTTTAAGCTTGAACAGACCAGATTCATTGACAATGTCCCAAACAATTATGGTTGTATCAACAGCCCCAGAAACAAGTCTCATGTTAATCGGATCAAATGAGAGGCAGGTTATGTTTCCCTTGTGTCCATTAAGAGTAACTTTCAATTCAGAGGTAACATAATTAACTAATTGAATGGAGCCATCACTACGACCAATAGCAATTAAAGGTTCATTAACAGAATTAACATTAAAATAAGTGATCATTGAAGAGCCCGAACCAAGAGTGTAAATTAATTGTTGCGTTTTTGTGTCCCAAATGTTGATATGTTGAAGGCCACTGGTGGCAACATATTTATCCATAATTCCGTTGATTGTTACATAGCGTAAACAAGAATCCGGTGAACCAATTAGCCCAAAAGGATCACCATTTGGTATAAACCTTGTATAATCTTTGGTTAGTCCCATTGATTATTATAAATATTACAACGTTAACAATTAATTGGCAAAAAAATAATATAAAGATGAACAGGAAAAGGAAAAGGTGACAAAAAAAACAAAAAATATGAAAACAAGAAAATAAGGAAACCAAAGTAAAGGTGAAAAATTGTCTAATGTTCTTGTAATGGTCCAATAAAATGGTACAAATTGTATTTCACTGGAACAATTAAATGTCTTTGTAACTAATTAATTAAACTAGAAAATATAATGAAGGTAAAACACGTGGAGGAACATGTGAGAAACGCTTAAGGGGCTGGTCTTTTAAGCGGTTGCCTTGTCCAATGGATTCTCAACAGCGTGGATCTCATAGAAACGTTTACTTAACCTTTGATTAACTTTGAAATACTTTTGAACACAATTATCTTCACACTTTTCCTCCTTTGATGTCATTTTACGTTGGGTGAAATCGAAGATACAATCATTGAAACATTGTTCAGCCAATCGATTAAAATCAATCATATACTCTTTGAATAATCTCATCTGGGTTGAAGGTGAATTAAAGTCAGCAGATCCTGGAGGCATCGCCATTTTAGTTTTATTAAAATCAATCGATTGCTTTTCTTACCAAAGTCTCTTTGCTTTAAAACCACAAGTGTAAGATAATTACCAGTCAATAGAAAGCAAATAATTGAATTAACTAAATTTAATTGTAAACAATTTCCCTTTCAAAATGATTGGAATCAAAATCTAAACAAGTAAACATGTGACTCGATGTTGAGAAATTTACGTAGACAGTGTCTCCATCTGGTGGAGGTTTTTATCGAACGGCAGTTTTGATGAATTGAGTTTTTTTTTATCAATGAAAGAGTTTAAATCAACTTTGAATTACTATTCAAAGAAATTGGTTTTTTTTAATAGAAAATCTCAAAGGTAAAATTGTTAGGTACATTTTTGAACATCTTCTAGGAAGGTGCAACTTGTGACTTTGGTTTAGAAAGTTAATTTAGTTTTTTTTGTTTAGTTTAGACAAAAGTTAATTAATCTATTTGTATATGTGATCTAAATCAGTTAATTTTTTTCTTTCGATTTTCTTTTCTTAATTTCGCCTTTGGAGACTGGTTTGTGGTTTTCTTTATCCTTTTTCTTGTTGTCTTTTGGTTTACTTTTAGGTTGAGATTTTGGTGAATGAGAGTCGACTAATTTTCCCATTATCTTGGTTGAGACACAAAGTGTAATTAAACATAAAATTGAAGTGATTACAATTGAAATCTCCGTTGGTAGGAAACATTTAACAATTGAATGATCATTTGGTGAAATTTGAAGAAGAAGATAATTTGGATCTTGTCGATTTCTCCAATTAAATGAGGCAACTGTCCATTCCTGAGAATCATGTTTAGTATGATTAACAACACAACCTGAATGAATGTGACCATTGAAAATTAAACGTGGACGATAACGTTCAAGTAAATTGTCCGATGTACGTTTGGATAAACTTTCCACGCCGGGGGTGAAATTGTTCAATCGATCTTGTCCTTTTTGAGAATCAATTTCATGACAAATATCATCATTAATCCGATATAATGGAAAATGTAACAAAAGAATAGGATCTCCAGGTAGATTACTTTTCGTTAATTGTTCATCAACAACCGATAGATAATTTTCCATTTCTTGGACCAACGAGAAATCAGCGCCTTCAATGGCCATACTGTTGATTGAGATGAACTTGATTCCCTTAATTGTGACCAATTTTGCTAGACTAGAATTGAAAGCTTTCTCCCAGCGTTTACGTAGATATGGATAAGCAGCAACTCGATCATGAAAACCGATATCATGATTACCAACGATAAATATTTTCTCAATTGGATCTTCGATTGAGAAAATTTTTTCAAATCGATCAACATATTTATCAAAACCATTCTCATCAACGGTTAATCCTTCATCTAAAAGATCACCGAGAAAAATGATCACATCAGGCTTACGAATTGATTTAGCTAATTGAAAAGCTATTGACATTTCCCATTCTCTGGTAAATTGGTCAACAGGATGACCTTTACGTTTACCCAAAAGATGGGGGTCACTTAATATCATCACTTTAACGAAATTTTCATCTGAACAATCGGGACAAGGCCAATCACATGGATAAATTGAATAAATGTCCAAAAGAAACAAATTAAACACCAATACAATTGCTCCAAGAAAAGACCAATTTGCAAGTTTAGAAAACATTTTCACCAATAATTTCATGATCCCCAATAATGTAAAAACTATTTCATAAACAATAGAAAAACAAAATCACAACTAAATTATATTAACTAGTTAACTCAACAAAATAAAAATTAATTGTGATGAAAAAAAATACCAACCTTATTAATCCAACACACAAGAAACCAAATTACTGAAAGTATTTAAATTGTTGAGAGATTAATTATGACACATTTAACCTCTAAACATTTCACAATCTAAATTAGATCGAGATGACAATAAGTAATTAATGAACAATTAGCCAATTCTTTTGACCGAATTGCTCTAAATTGGAAAAACAAACAAAACAGTTTTGCTTTTTGCTCGAATAATAGACTTTGTTTGCTATTCTTCGAGAAATTCACACGTGACTTCATTCACATGCTTTTTGTTTTGGTTTAAATTACTTTCGCTTGTTGATTAGTTCATTGATTTTTCTGATTGTTTAATTTTTTCCCTTCTTATAATCGTTAACTATGGATTTAATACCTGATGAGAAATTCGTTGATAAATGGTTGTCTAGAAGTAAATTCAAGGAATCGATGGTCAATGAAATGTTGATGAATCAGTTGGACTATTTTAACAACCGGCGACAAATTGATAAATTTCATGTTTGGTTATTTAATTGTTCCCGTTTAGTTGAATTATCTTTTCAAACTATTTACCTACCTTTGGAATTTCAATTGCAATATGGAGAGAAGATAATTAAATCACCACCATTACAAACAATACAAACATGGAAACATTTCTTGCAAGAAGATATTGTAAACTCACCGGTTACATTGGAATTGTTTATTTGTTTCCTTAATCATTTACGGATTTGTGATGATTTGATGCCAAAAATGATTATACCTCAAGAAAATGAGTGTATCCAAGGTACAAGAGATCAAATTATGAATTTATCGTTCGATAGTTTGAAAAATCAACAGCAATTATCTCTTGTATTGAGATTGTCTCATGCTTGGGGTAATTTGGTTTTGCTTAAAAATTTTTACGACAATCAAAAATTGACAACTAATTTGGTTAAACATTCTTGGTACGATATGGGACCAATTCATGATTATTACGATTCTGGTGTTTGGAAAGCAATTGTCAACCAATGTCTATCATCATCAGATGACAATCTTGTACAAATCATATTCCAAATGATGATACAGAAATTGTCCCTCTTTACCAAAACCTTTTACACCGAGAGCAGCGATCCTGAAATCCGTGATTTATGTAAACAGAATATACTAATTGTAGTTAATTGTATTCTAACCAGAATTGGTAAAAATCCTGACCTGTTGAACTCCTTGGATCTATGGAAATTTTCATCCTTTGTGCCCGATGAACATAACGACCAATTGACCCAAATCATAGTTGATAGAATCGGTGATTGTGAAGAAGAGGAAATTAACTTGCAACTATTATCAACCATTGATAAAGGTTGTGAAAGGTCAAGTTTCGTATTGTCCATGGTGGAATCGATTTTACGAAAGTTCATCGTTAATCTGGATGAAAATCTTCCCTTGAGAAAACTTTACGTTTACTTGGAGAAGCATCGATTCTTTCAAGATCCACCCGAAGTTTTTGACTCAAGCGCAACGAAAAAATTGATAAAACTAATCCACAATGTTATGGATAGAGATGTGAATCTATCATTTCCTTCACCAGAACTGAGAACTTTGTCCATTTTAAATTACCTACCTTTAGAACACCTACAAGATGAAGCTCAGCTGAAATGTTCAATTTTTCTCATCTCATTGGCGTTTTCGATTGGATTCGATTCCGATGTCACTGAATCGACTATTAAACTTGTCCTTCCAATATTTACAAGTGAACAAACTTTATGGTTTTTCAAAGTCTTTGATCCAACTCATTTTCTCACCAAACTGATCACTATTGTCCATCAACAGAAAAATGTCCAACCCTATTTATCGGAATTCATTTCAACAATAATCGAAAGACTATTTAAAGAGAGTCCAAGTAGCGAAATAATTGAAATACTTGAAAACGTTTCCGATAAAGTGATCAATTGTGAAAGTTTGGCTACAACTCGTTGTTTAACCACTTTACTATTAAAACGACTTATACTCGTTGATTGTTCGGAGACTGAACTCTCGATAAAATTGATTAGCCATTTATTGGGAATGCTTCGTAATCCAAGTGACCTGAAGGACCTAAATAGAGTCCAAATTAACGAAACTTTGGCCGTGATTATGGAGTTTTTCTCGAAGAGGAACAAATTAACCGGAAAAGAGGAGAAATTATTAAGAAAGTTGATTTCAAATTGTTCAAAGTTAATCAACGAAACCTGTAAATCTTTAATCAACATGGAAAATTCAAATGATGACAACTTTAAATCTAATATTAAATTTCTGCTCTTTTTATGTTCATCATCATCACGAACAAACGATCTTTTATCAGATGATCAAATATCGTTAATTTGGTGTTCACTGTTTCCAAATTATCCTCAGTTCGATAGTTGTGATGATCGTACAATTAGCAGAGAAAATATTGAAACGATTTCCACTGTAATCCCGATAATCTCCAAGTGTGTCTTTGGAAAAACTTCAGTTGATAATTTAACCGAATACGTTGATTATTGTTTCACAATTTTGGAATCAAACACTTCCGATGATAGTAAATTGTTTGCAGTCAATGTTTTAAAAGGACTAATTGTCAAAGAATGGACCAAACCCACTGCGAAAGATACTCGAATGTACAAATTCACCGATTCCACTTTGGATAAACTTCTCCAAACTCTAACATCGATATTTAAAGATCAAAATCTATGCCAATCAATTAATTTGAATCTAATTCAAGCCTGTGGTAATCTAATCAAGGATATTCTCCATGTTGGTAAAGAGCTTTTGAATTCACCTCGATTATATTATTGTCTCCAAATTTGTGCCTATTTACCTTTACGACAATTGGTCAACTCGCCTGATAAATATACGAAAATATTGGCAACTAATTATTCAATTTTATTTCAATTCTTCGTTAATTATAACTACATGGTTTCCACGAGCATGGTTGTAATCAAGTTTGATTGGAAACTATTTAACAACATTAACACAAGTTTGTGATCAAACTTCATTCACTGATTACGATGCCGAAATTCAGAAAGATTTGATAATTGCTGCAACAGATTTAACTAAATTAATCTCACAATTAACAAATGATTTTCCCACTGATTTTGCTCCATTCTCACCACATCTAATCAGTTGTTACATTATTCTAAATCACAAATACACGATTCATCCATTAATCAAGAAACATCTTACACTTTGCATGTACAGATTGTTGAATGTGATCAAATCAAATGTTAATTGGAAAAATATCTACGATATGATTCATTGTCGATTAGATGAATCAGGTCGAGATTTATTGAAGATTCTGTTGGAAAATTATGAGAAATTTTATGTATTCAAGGGAAGATTTTGATTGAATTGAAATTAAATATTAATAACTAGGAGAATAAATATAATAAGTGTTTTGACTTTCAGGTCAAGTACTTGACTTTTCGCTACATGTAAAGAAATCGATTCGTTCATTATGTCCAACAAAACATCCGAAGTTGCAGAAAATATGAATTTACATTATCCGAAGCATGAACGCGAAACTTTATTCTACCAAAGTACCAACGTTTCGCGTGTAGCAAAAACGATTTGAAACCGTATTGATCATCTAATAGGATTAGATATCGAATCAATAATAACTTTGGATGAAATTAATTTAGAAGAAATAAAAAAATTTACAAAGTTCAAATGTTTACGAATTTTTCATTTATTGATCATAATTTGAATTAAATTTTGTTTATGATGATCTACATCAATTTTCATAACTTATGGAGAAGTTAGTTACTTTTACTAGTGATAATTACTACGCAGCTTGTTGACCAGAATTGCCAGAACCTTGTAGAACAGAGTCGACAGGAACGATTGGTTTCAACTCAGAGTTTTTATTATTATTGAGAACTCCAACGGCGTTGTTTTGATCATTAGCGGCTGTAGCAGCTCCAATGAGGGACACGATGGCGATGAAAACTTTGATAAAGTTTAGATTCATTGTTGATTGTTGGATAATTAGAGTTGACACTTTAAAACAAAAGGCAAAACTTTGATTAAATGAATTGATGATTTCAAGTGATAATAATTAACTTGATGCTCTTGCTTTTTATACAAAACAGTTATCAAGATGATTCCAGTTGATTAATGTTAATTGTCACTTAAATCACCTGTGAAAATTAGTCACAATTAAATCAATAGATTTAAACTTTTGTTTGTATTAATTAATTTACATTTTGTTTATCACTAAATTTCATATGAATAAATAGACAAAGTCAATGTTAATGTTAAACAATCGGATGATCGTTAATTTGATCTATCATCTAATTAACCTAATCTGAATAAACTTTCTTTAATTAACGTATTCAAATAATGATTCACAAATTATCGAGATCAATTCTCTAACTATTAATTTTCTTTATCTTTATATTTACATTTGGTGAAAAACCAAATGAACAACGTACCAACTTTACATTTAATTGTCAGCCACTTTCAAATGTTTCATATTAGATAGCTGATGAATATACTTAAATGTATAGTTAGAGAGAGAAAGAGAGAGAGAGAGAAATTATCAGATCATCAATAGTTAGAGAATTGATCTCGATAATTTGTGAATCATTATTTGAATACGCTTTTGAAATGGCTTTTAATGGATTTCAAGTCAAAAATAGATTTATATAACATTTACAATGATTGTGAATCTCGAACTTCGTTTCTAAATCGATTTTTGTTCTAAAATTAATCATGAAAAAAGAAAATCCAAGTATCGTATCATTGATTTATTGAGTATCCAAATTCATACCCAAATTTTGGCTTTGGACTAATTATTAATTGGATACAAAATTCAGATTACAATTGGGTGCAAATTGGGTGATGCAAGAGAGTTATTGTTTGAATACTGATTTTATCAATTTCTGATACATTTCATTCATAGTGATAGATACACTTTTATATTTTAAAGATCAACAATTTTGGTATAATTTTAGGGGGTTAACTTTTTGTTAATTTGTTCAGTGAACTAAATTTTTTTTCTTGATTAGTTTAGATTATCGAGATCAATTCTCTAACTATTGATGATCTGATAATTTCTCTCTCTCTCTCTTTCTCTCTCTAACTATACATTTAAGTATATTCATCAGCTATCTAATATGAAACATTTGAAAGTGGCTGACAATTAAATGTAAAGTTGGTACGTTGTTCATTTGGTTTTTCACCAAATGTAAATATAAAGA